CAGTGTTAGGATTTGTAATTTGATCCGTTGCGCAATCGGAAGCCAGTGGAGGGATTGGCAGAGGGGGGTGGAGGACACTGCGTGGAGGCCAGTGGAGGGATTGGCAGAGGGGGGTGGAGGACTGAGTGGAGGCCAGTGGAGGGATTGGCAGAGGGGGGTGGAGGACACTGAGTGGAAGCCAGTGGAGGGATTGGCAGAGGGGGGTGGAGGACACTGAGTGGAGGCCAGTGGAGGGATTGGCAGAGGGGGGTGGAGGACACTGAATGGAGGCCAGTGGAGGGATTGGCAGAGGGGGGTGGCGGAAACGGAGTGGTTGGAAAGGTGAATGAGTCTGGCAGCCGTATTCAGGATGGACTGAAGCGGGGATAGCCAGCGGCGAGGCAGGCCAGTGAGGAGGGAGTTGCAGTAGTCGAGTCGTGATATGATGAGGGAGGGGATGAGCTGTTTAGTGGTTTCTGGGGTTAGGAACGTGCGGATTTTGGCGATGTTGCGGAGGTGGAGTCTACATGAGTTTGTTAAAGATTGGACTTGGGGCTGGAAGGATAGGTTGGAGTCCAGAATGACACCAAGTACTCTGGCCTGCGGGGCGGGTTTGATGGTGGCGTTGTTGGATGTGATGGAGAGGTCAATGGGGGGTGGTGTCCGGGCTGGGGGGAAGACAAGAAACTCGGTTTTGGAGAGGTGTGTAGCCCAAAGAATACAAGTTTTGCGCTCAATCTCCATATAATGTGCCCACCAGCCCCAAACATTTTCAAAGTGACTATTCGTATCCTGAATAATACTTGTGATTTTCTCATGGAGCATAATCCAGGAACTCCTTTGCCGTACTTGCAAGGTCTTCCATGATCCAGTAATGGTCAATTTATCCACCAAGAAAATAAAGGTGGCCAACTGCTGCTAGGACCAAGAAACATTCTCCAGTGGTTTGTTTAAAAGAACCTCTCAAGGGGATTGCTGAGTGGTGACCTCAGTAACCCGTCGAACTAGAGCAAAAACTCCAAATTCCAAAAGCCTGCGGTCTAGGCCATTCCCAAAAGATGTGAAGCATTGTCCCTGGCATATGGCAACCTTGAAAGCAAAAAGGCAAAACATTAGCCTCAATCAGCCATACATTCAGTATGCCCTTGTAAGACCGGTGGAAACTGCTGTACCAAGATTCTAGGTCCTGCTCAAATTCTACTTCCCAGTCACTCATGCAGGATAATGTCGAAGAAGATTCCAATAAGAGCCCATAGATGGTGGAGAAGGTTTAGAATCTTATACTCTTAAGTGGCTGTGGTGTGAAGATGGCTGCCTGGGCAATCTTCCTCAGTTTGGACTTAGGCCACTATCCGCATGTGTCATGTACTTGGTAGGAGACTGAACAGAGGAGGATTGCGTCTTTTGCTTCTCTTGCCTTAGCTGGCCTGCTACAGGTGATATAGAGACACAGGAGGGGCGCAAGTGCCTGGAAATGTTGTTGGCAATTAGAACTTCCAGACTCAGTGCTAAGGATCCAGCAAGATATGTAGATCTCAATACCAAGAGTAGAACACCCATCTAGGATTGGCAGAGTAGATGGACAGCAGGAGTTACTAGGGAAAGTTAAAGTGGAGCAACAAGGTGTTAATGGATCAGAACTATCAGCAGCTGGACAGCGAGGTCACAGGACAGGACAGAGTAGTCAACGAGAGGGGGACAGTAGGGTTCCAAATTAGAGACAGGTTCAGTCAGTAGATGAACCAAAGTCAGCAACAGAAAGGCAGGATCCAGGAAAAAGGTTGGAGACACTGAGAGCAGCTCAGGAAGGAGCCAGGTCTGTAGCAGAAGACCATCCACAAGGCAGGTCAGGAAATGCAGGCAAGATAAAGAGCTGATGGCAAAGGTCCAGAGTCAGGCTGAGACTTAAACCTTTTGGTGCCGGTCTGATGCCACATTTGTGCACACCCAACATCACTGTACACTATGTACTTCATTATCCTGAGGAATCTGAGGTCAATTCTGCTTTGTAGGACAGACAGGTCTGATCTGATGTGATCTCTGTGCAAAGCCCCCCATTGGTCAGATTCTTTCCCCTGCACTGAACCCATCATCAGGAAGTGGGGAACCCACAATACCGTCCTATCTTCTCCAGATGGTATGGTCCACCATAGGAAATCTCTACAAGCCTTAACAGAGTATTTGGTCTGCAGCAAGTGTGTCCTGATGTGATCTCTGTGCAGAGCCCCCCCATTGGTCAGACTCTTTCCCCGGCACTGAACCCATCATCAGGAAGTGGGGATTCCAAATACCATCCTATCTTCTCCAGATGGTATGGTCCACCATAGGAAATCTCTACAAGCCTTCCACAGAGTATTCAGTTTGCAGCAATTCTGACCTCCTAGGAGCAGATATACGGGATGTGTCCTTGCCTGGAGAACTCAGAAAACCCTCAACACAAAGTACTGCTGAATGTGGAGTTCCCCTTCTCCAGGTCAGCTCTTCTGATCTAGTTGCACTTCCTCTATCACTTTCTTTCTTGGTCTATAGCCATGTATGTGTTTTTTGCTCCTTTCAAATCCTTTGTTCTACCAAAATTTATGATCCATGCTAAGGTCCTTGGGGTATCATATCTGTCCTCAGTCTTCAGCAGCAGCGTAGTGTGTGATCGAATCTAAGATCTCCCTGAGCTATGATGAGGAAATCCAAAAAACATTGATGGTTGAGGCCTCTCTCCAGCCCAGATGATGGACTGAGGGGAAACTCTTCCAACCACCACTGTTCTTCTACACTTAGAGTGATTTCATTTTGTTCCACCCTAAATTGCCACACCCAGCCATGCACACCACACCTCTCTGGAAATACATGGATGTAGACCATGCCAGCACCACAGAGCAGGGAGATACAGTAATCATGGAAGGGGAAAACAAGTGACAAAAAGTCAAAGGGCACCTATTGTAAGAGAAATGTATGGGGGCTGCTACTGCTAGCCTCTCCTTCTGAAAAAGCTAAATACCAAGGTGTCATCCTGATCCTCCAGCTTCAGTGCCATTAGGGCCACAGACCAAGATAAGAATACAGATTGAGAAAGTCCAAGAACTACAAAGTCCTCATCTGCCAACTTTCCTGGGTCACTGCCTCTGACAGAACATTTCCAAAGGAATGAAAAAAATTGCTCAGGGAGAAAAAGTCCCGGGGATGGTACATCAATAATACATTCAAAAGGTTCAGGAGGGCAGGATCATCAGTGTGAAGCAAAGATGAAGAACACGGGGACATGACTTCAAACTCCAGGAGGAAAGTTCAAAACTAATAGTATTATTTTACCAAAGGAGTAGTTGATGAATGAAACAGATTTCCAGCAGAGGTAGTGAGTCAGACATGCTTGGGACAAACATAGATCTATACTCAGACTAATGGAATAAAAACAAAAGAAAAAAAATGGGGCAGACTTGATGGACCACTTGGTTCATTTCTGCCATGACTCTTCTTTGTGTAATCACCTGTATAGACTGCGCCTTAGCTGATTGGTGGAGACTGGAAAACATTTGTCTTGCCTTGTACTTGCACCCACTCTGCAATGCTGGGATTGTAGAACGGGCATTACTAGAACCCAACACCCAGGACACGGTTAGTCTTCATCTGATTGTCCCGCGGTCTTCGCTGAGTACCTGGGTCTTCATCTGATTTTCTTGGGGTCTTCCTTCACGTTCCTCACGTCTTCCACTAAGCCCCTGGGTCTTCATCTGAGTTTCCTGGATCTACTGTCAAGGGGCCTAAGGTCTTCCTCTACATGCCACATGTCTTCATCTGATTGTCCCGGGGTCTATGCTGAGTACCTGGGTCTTCATCTGAATTTCTTGGGGTCTTTACGTTCCTCACGTCTTCCACTAAGCCCCTGGGTCTTCATCTGAGTGTCCTGGATCTACTGTCAAGGTGCCTAAGGTCTTCCTCTACATGCCCCATGTCTTCATCTGATTGCCCCGGGGTCTACGCTGAGTACCTGGGTCTTCATCTGAATTTCTTGGGGTCTTCACGTTCCTCACGTCTTCCACTAAGCCCTGGGTCTTTATCTGAGTGTCCTGGATCTACTGAGAAGGGGTCACAAGCTTTCCACTGAATGCTCTGGGTCATCTACTAATTTCCCTGGGTCATCCTCTGAATGCTCCAGATCTACTGTGAAGGAACTCAAAGTCTTACATTTAGTCCTTGGTGCTTCAGCTGGTGTGCTGGGTTATCTTTATTTGGGGGTATGAAGTCTGCACGGTCTCCCTGTAATTGGTGGGTTTCCTTCAGGTACACTCCAAATACATGCTGGTAGGATACCTATCTCCTGTCTAAAGGTCCGAATATGTGTATATACAGTACACTCACAGGCCACTTTATTAGGTCCACCTGTTTAATTTTTTGGTAACACAATTTGCTAATCAGCCAATCACATGGCAGCATTTAGGCATTTTAGGGTGAAGGCAACTTGCTGAACTTCAAACTGAGCATCAGAATGGGGAAGAAAGAGGATTTAAGTGACTTTGAATGTGGCATGGTTGTTGGTGCCGGATGGGCTGGTCTGAGTATTTCTATAACTGCTGATCTCCTGGGCTTTCCCACAAAACCATCTCTAGGGTTTACAGAGAATGGTCCGAAAAAGAGAAAATATCCAGTGAGCGGCAGTTATGTGGAGGTGTACGTTGTTGGTGGGCAGACTGGTTGGAGATGATAGAAAGGCAACAGTAACTCCAATAACCACTCGTTATAACCAAGGTATGCAGTATACCATCTCTGAACGCACAACACCTCCTACCTTGAACGAGATGGTCTACAGCAGCAGAAGACCACACCGGGGGCCACTCCTGTCAGCTAACAAGAAACAGAGGCTACAATTTACACAGGATCACCAAAATTGGACAATAGAAGATTGGAAGAACGTTGCCGGGTCTGAGTAGTCTGGATTTCAGCTGCGACATTCAACTGGTAGGGTCAGAATTTGAAGTAAACATGAAAGCATGGATCTATCCTGCCTTGTATAACCAGTTTAGGCTGGTGGTGGTGGTGTCATGGTGTGGTGGATCTATCCTGCCTTGTATAACCAGTTCAGGCTGGTGGTGTCATGGTGTGGTGGATCTATCCTGCCTTGTATCAATGGTTCAGTCTGGGGGTGGTGATGTCATGGTGTGGTGGATCCATCGTGCCTTGTATCAATGGTTCAGACTGGGGGTGGTGGTGTCATGGTGTGGTGGATCCATCCTGCCTTGTATCAATGGTTCAGGCTGGGGGTGGTGATGTCATGGTGTGGTGGATCCATCCTGCCTTGTATCAATGGTTCAGGCTGGGGGTGGTGGTGTCATGGTGTGGTGGATCCATCCTGCCTTGTATCAATGGTTCAGACTGGGGGTGGTGTCATGGATCCATCCTGCCTTGTATCCACGGTTCAGGCTGGTGGTGTCATGGTGTGGTGGATCCATCCTGCCTTGTAGCCACGATTCAGGCTGGGTGTGGTGGTGTCATGGTGTGGTGGATCCATCCTGCCTTGTGACCCGCTGGCCAGCACTGGTACTGCAGCCCACACAGCAGGTGAGTCATTTCCTGACTCTGTGGGGAGAGGCTGTGTGTAAAGCTTCTCTGCTCTGCTAAGCTCCAGGAGGGCCCGAGAAGCCAGGTGGGATGTCGGTCCCTGGGCCTGGTTCTGCTGGCCTGAAGGCCCCAAAACCTGGGACCTCAGGTGACTTATCCGGCTCGGACAGGATGGAAGGCCCTAGGCCTAGTCCTGAAGAGGAGAAGGCCCCAAAGCCTGGGACCCCAAGTGCCCTGCCCGGCCCAGGCAGGAAGGAGGGACCTGAGCCTGGGTCCAGCAAGGTTAGTACCCCGGAAGGACCTAGTACCGGCCTTCGAATCCCAGCAGTGGAGGACCTGGGAACAGGCCCAAAGATGGGGGAGACCTACTCCCAATACAGGGAGCGTGTGGCGGCTCGGATCAGGCTAGTGGAGCAGGAGGGGGAAAAGCTTAAGAAGCTGTCCCTTGATTTAAAGAAGCTGCGGACCTCTTATTTACGTGTGTGGTCCTCCAAGAGGCAGGCGATGAAGCCAGGTCTGGAGGCATTGGAGCTCCAAGTGTCCCAGCAGGAGCAGTACGTTTTGGCGGTGCAGCGCAAGAGTGGGGCCCTTAGTGAGTGATATCTTAATGAGGCCAAGTTCAAGGCCACGAGGAGCCGCAGGGTAGCGGCAGTGCGGGGCCCGGTGCAGGAGGTCTCATCTGCCGGTAGCCAGGGAGCGTGCCGCGTTCGTGCGGCTGGGTCATACTCCGCAGGAGGTGCTGGCTAAGGCTGGGGAACTTCCCTCAGGACACAATGGACAGGACTCTGCTGCCGGGACTGGTGAGGTATTCTCGGACATGGGGTGACAAATGTTATGTCTGTTGAAGTGTCAGGGGCGCAGGTCCGCCCCACGGTCCTGACTAGGGGTCTCCTTTCCCCAGTAGTCCCGCTGGGCACCGCCCACTCGGGGGTTGTGACGGCTGCGGGTGTACAGCCTCATACTACTCCTCAGGGGGATTTGTCTTCTGAGCCCCTAGTACAGGCTCCTGTGGGTCAAGTCCAGGTGGGCGCCCCTGCCCGGGTGAGTGATGCCCACCTTCCAGCTCCCCGGGGTCCCGTTGTTTCACAGCCTGTGCCCCCTGTCTTGGCTGCCAGTGCAGTGGTTCCTCCTGAAGCAGGCTCCCCTGGTATTAGTGTCCCTAAGCCCGTGCTGAGCTACTCCACGGCGGTTAGGGGAGGTCCAGTGCCCACGTGGTCCGCCAGGGCAAGGGCAGGCAACCTATCCACTGTAGCAGCCAGGCCTAATGTAGTCCAAATTAAGTGGACGGGGGAGGGTCCCCCCCTTAGTAGGAGGGAAGTAATCGACCGAATCCTGGAGATGGGGTTCCGGGCAAGTGAAATGTTTGCCCTTATAGCCCCGGTTGGGACCGGGGAATATGATGTTTCTTTCATGCGGCCGGATCAACTCGATTTATTTTGGCAGCAGTATGAGGCCACTTTTGTGTCCAGCCCCAGGTGGGTGGGTTTGACCCCCCCGGCTTTTGTCCCGCCAGTCCCTAGTTAAGAAGGTTACAATCCTGCTCTGAGGGATAGTACGGGGTCCCTGACTAAATCCAGGTCGGGGATTCTGGAGGTCTCCAGGTCCTTTTATGTGGATTTACTGAGTAAGAAGCACTTTGACCGGACAGGGATGTCGAGCTTTTTGGAATCCACGCCTGGTCTGGACAGTGATGTCCCTCTGGGGGGGTTGGCTGGGGAGATTACTGCAGAAGAGGTGTCCAGAGCGATTGATAGTCTGGCCATTAAAAAGACTCCTGGGCCAGACGGTCTGACAGCCGAATTTTTTAAGGCTTTTAAATCCCGCCTGGCACCTCGTCTCACGGAAGTGTATACCAGCTGAGAAAATACAAGAGAAAATGAACGCTGACCCGTAAGCTGGCAATCAACTGAACTGCTGTGATGCTAAACCAAAGTAAAACTGATACAAAAAGTGTCGGCAATAATGAAGCCAAAATGAAAGGCCTTCCTGTGCAGCCCCAATAGTGGGGGGCTGTATGTGTCCCTAAGGGGGTACCCCTAGAGGCGGCTATAGAGTACCTGGCACCCAATTGTCAGTAATATGCAGAGTGAACAACGCTGGCCAATATACATAAACCTCTCACACGGTATACAGATGTGGGGTGCAGCCCCAATAGTGGGGGGCTGTATGTGTCCCTAATAAGGGGGTACCCCTAGAGGCGGCTATACAGATGTGGGGTGCAGCCCCAATAGTGGGGGGCTGTATGTGTCCCTAATAAGGGGGTACCCCTAGAGGCGGCTATACAGATGTGGGGTGCAGCCCCAATAGTGGGGGGCTGTATGTGTCCCTAAGGGGGTACCCCTAGAGGCGGCTATACAGATGTGGGGTGCAGCCCCAATAGTGGGGGGCTGTATGTGTCCCTAAGGGGGTACCCCTAGAGGCGGCTATACAGATGTGGGGTGCAGCCCCAATAGTGGGGGGCTGTATGTGTCCCTAAGGGGGTACCCCTAGAGGCGGCTATACAGATGTGGGGTTCAGCCCCAATAGTGGGGGGCTGTATGTGTCCCTAAGGGGGTACCCCTAGAGGCGGCTATACAGATGTGGGGTGCAGCGCCAAACTACAACATAAACAAATCCAACAATAAGAAACGAAGGAATCACTAAAAACTTCCCCCATAAATATAAGTGAATATATCAGAATGTCCCTGTGACGGGACTGTAGGCGGGACACAACACACAAAGCTTTATTGAACTATAAAAGACAATCAGGACAGTTCATGGCACTCCGCGACATGCGATTTGTAGGGACACCCATGGTAAGCGGGCTCACGGGGGCTCAACGGGACCTTGGCTATGGGGTCTGACCTCAACACAACCCCCACACAGCGTACTAAGGACAACAGGCTCATGGGGACTCAACGGGTGGTCTGTGCGCACCATAGGGACAGTCCATGACACGGGTGGTCTGTGTGCATACTAGGGACAGTCCATGACACGGGGGTCTGTGTGCATACTAGGGACAGTTCATGACACGGGGTCTGTGTGCATACTAGGGACAGTTCATGACACGGGTGGTCTGTGTGCATACTAGGGACAGTCCATGACACGGGGGTCTGTGTGCATACTAGGGACAGTTCATGACACGGGTGGTCTGTGTGCATACTAGGGACAGTTCATGACACAGATGGTCTGTGTGCATACTAGGGACAATTCATGACACGGGTGGTCTGTGCGCACCATAGGGACAGTCCATGACATGGGGGGTCTGTGTGCATACTAGGGACAATTCATGACACGGGGGGTCTGTGTGCATACTAGGGACAGTTCATGACACGGGGGTCTGTGTGCATACTAGGGACAGTCCATGAAAAGGGGGTCTGTGTGCATACTAGGGACAGTTCATGACACGGGGGGTCTGTGCGCACAAGAGGGACAGTTCATGACACGGGTGGTCTGTGTGCATACTAGGGACAGTTCATGACACGGGGGGTCTGTGCGCACAAGAGGGACAGTTCATGACACGGGTGGTCTGTGTGCATACTAGGGACAGTCCATGACACGGGGGTCTGTGTGCATACTAGGGACAGTTCATGACATGGGTGGTCTGTGTGCATACTAGGGACAGTTCATGACACGGGGGTCTGTGTGCATACTAGGGACAGTTCATGACACGGGGGTCTGTGCGCACAAAAGGGATAGTTCATGACATGGGGGTCTGTGTGCATACTAGGGACAGTTCATGACACGGGTGGTCTGTGCGCACCATAGGGACAGTCCATGACATGGGGGGTCTGTGTGCATACTAGGGACAGTTCATGACACGGGGGTCTGTGTGCATACTAGGGAAAGTTCATGACACAGGGGGTCTGTGTGCATACTAGGGACAGTCCATGACATGGGGGGTCTGTGTGCATACTAGGGACAGTTCATGACACGCGGGTCTGTGTGCATACTAGGGAAAGTTCATGACACGGGTGGTCTGTGTGCATACTAGGGACAGTTCATGACACGGGGGTCTGTGTGCATACTAGGGACAGTTCATGACACAGGGGGTCTGTGCGCACAAAAGGGATAGTTCATGACATGGGGGTCTGTGTGCATACTAGGGACAGTTCATGACACGGGTGGTCTGTGCGCACCATAGGGACAGTCCATGACATGGGGGGTCTGTGTGCATACTAGGGACAGTTCGCTCATGACACGGGGGTCTGTGTGCATACTAGGGAAAGTTCATGACACAGGGGGTCTGTGTGCATACTAGGGACAGTCCATGACATGGGGGGTCTGTGTGCATACTAGGGACAGTTCATGACACGCGGGTCTGTGTGCATACTAGGGAAAGTTCATGACACGGGTGGTCTGTGTGCATACTAGGGACAGTTCATGACACGGGTGGTCTGTGTGCATACTAGGGACAGTTCATGACACGGGGGTCTGTGTGCATACTAGGGACAGTTCATGACACGGGGGTCTGTGTGCATACTAGGGACAGTTCATGACACGGGGGTCTGTGTGCATACTAGGGACAGTCCATGAAAAGGGGGTCTGTGTGCATACTAGGGACAGTCCATGAAAAGGGGGTCTGTGTGCATACTAGGGAAAGTTCATGACACGGGTGGTCTGTGCCCACAAGAGGGATAGTTCATGACACGGGTGGTCTGAGCGCACAATAGGGACAGTTCAGGAAAAACAGGGGTAGCATACACTCACACATCCAACAGTGTGCGGTCTCCCCCTTGGCTGAGGTCTCAGGCAGAGCTGGCGTGCGGTCTCCCCCTTGGCTGGGGTCTCAGGCATAGCTTGTGTGCGGTCTCCCCCTTGTCTGGGGTCTCAGGCAGAGCTGGCGTGCGGTCTCCCCCTTGGCTGGGGTCTCAGGCAGAGCTTGTGTGCGGTCTCCCCCCCTTGGCTGGGGTCTCAGGCATAGCTTGTGTGCGGTCTCCCCCTTGTCTGGGGTCTCAGGCAGAGCTGGCGTGCGGTCTCCCCCTTGTCTGGGGTCTCAGGCAGAGCTGGCGTGTGGTCTCCCCCCTTGGCTGGGGTCTCAGGCAGAGCTGGCGTGCGGTCTCCCCCTTGGCTGGGGTCTCAGGCAGAGCTGGCGTGCGGTCTCCCCCCCCTTGGCTGGGGTCTCAGGCAGAGCTGGCGTGCGGTCTCCCCCTTGGCTGGGGTCTCAGGCAGAGCTGGCGTGCGGTCTCCCTCTTGGCTGGGGTCTCAGGCAGAGCTGGCGTGCGGTCTCCCCCTTGGCTGGGGTCTCAGGCAGAGCTGGCGTGCGGTCTCCCCCTTGGCTGGGGTCTCAGGCAGAGCTGGCGTGCGGTCTC